TCACATACAAAAAAATTCATACACACACAAATGAACCTCCTAAATCACACCATACAAAAAAATTAACTCAAAATGGACCAAGATTAAATATAAGGCCTAAAACCACAAAATTTCTAGAAGAAAACACAGAAAATTTATAAAACACAAAAGCTTTGTGAATTTGGGCTGGGCAAGGATTTCTTAGATAGGATACCAAAAACACAATCCATAAAAGAAATTGATAGATTAGAACTTCTTCTCTGAAAAATACTGTTCACAGAATGAAAAGACAAGACACAACCGTGAGAAAAGATTTGTAAATCATATAACTGATAAAGGACTTGCACCCAGAATTATAAAGACCTCTTAGAACTCAATCATAAGAAAATAACCCAATAAAAAATATACAAAACATTTGGACATTTCACCGAAGATATACAGATGACACTAAATACATGGAAAAATGCTTCTCTTCACCATCAGTCATTAGCAAAAGGCAAATTAAAACCATCATACAGGGGAACCTGGGTAGCTCAGTGGGTTAAGCATCTGCCTTCGGCTCAGGTCATGATCCCAGACTCCTGGGATGGAGCCCTTGAATCGGGCTTCCTGCTCAGCAGGGAGCCTGCTTCTCTCCCTCTCTCTCTCTCAAATAAATAAATAAATAAATCTTAAAAAAAAAAATAAAACCATCATACCAATACCTATCAGAATGGCTTGGTTTAATTAATTAATTTATTAATTAATTAATTTATTTAGAGTAGGCTCCACACCCAGCATGGATGCCAATGCTGCGCTTGAACTCACCCCCCGAGATCACGACCTGAGCTGAGATCAAGAGTCGGATGCTTAACCAACTTGAGCCACCCAGGCTCCCCAGAATGGCTAAAATTTTTAAAACATATAATACCATGTACTAACAACGATGCTGGTAGGAATGTAAAATGGCTTTGGAAAACAATTTGAGTTTCTTATAAAGTTAAACATACACTTATCATATGACCCATTAATTCCACTCCTAGATATTTATATATCCAATTGATCTGTTCACACAGAAACCTGTGTGTGAATGCAATTGTCCAAATGCAAATAACTAGAAGTGGCAAAGTGCTGGCAAAGTGATAACCCAAGTAGTACAGACACACAAAAGAATAGCAGTCAACAAAAAAGGAACAAACTATAGACACATGCAACATGATGACTCTCAAGCACATCATACTAAGGTTAAAGAGCTCATGTTCAAAAAGGCACATACTGTATGATTCCATTGATGTGACATTCTGGAAGAGGCAAAACTATAGGGACACAAAACAGTTCAGTGTTTGCCCGGGTCTGGGGGTGGAAGGAGAGGTTGACTAGAAAGGGCAGCACAAGAGAATTTGAGGGGGTAATGACATTGTTCTGAATTTTGGGTATTTTGGTGGTTACATAACTGTATGTAATGGCTGAAATGTGAAGAGCTGTTCACTAAAAAGGGTGAATTTTACTGTATGCAAATTATACATAGATATAAAAACTGGAAAAAATACAATATGTATGTAATATATTTCAAAAAATACTTGTTATATGTATGCTAACCAAAGTTTCTATGGAAAAAAGAGAAGTGTAAGAATGAATGAAGACTGCTTCTTTCTAGGTGTCCTCTCAATTTCTGACACATCCTATGAATCATGGACCCATCTGAAAAAGGTATGTGCTTAATGTGCAAATCGAAACTGCATTCTTTTCCAGAGGAATGTGATTCTTACAAACAAACATGAGGAGAAATTGCTAGCAGCTAGGAAACAACAAGAAAGACAAATAGTACATTTTGAACTCCTTGCATCATTGTAACACACTGAGAAAACTTCAGGGAACAGAAATAAACTGGATTACAACATGGATTTACATACCGAAACGTCATCTATTGACATAAAATAGAAATAAAATGCCACAGGAAATGAAATCCTCCTTTCCCTTACAATCTCTTTGTAGAGAGTAGAAAACAAATACATCTTATAGAAAGAAAATAAAGAAGAGAGGGTAAAGATAAAGAGTAGAGCTGGAAATAGAAGTTGGGTCAGATTGCAATTTGTCCATAGGTTCTTCAGGCCAATTCTCCCATTTTCCAGTTCATTTGCACCTCTGTCAAGATAATTTTTTTTTTAATTTTATTTATTTATTTGACAGAGAGAGACACAGGGAGAGAGGGAACACAAGCAGGTAGAGGGAGAGGGGGAAGCAGGCTCCCTGCGGAGCAGGGAGCCCGATGTGGGACTTGATCCCAGGACCCTGGGACCATGACCCGAGCCGAAGGCAGATGCGTAACGACTGAGCCACCCAGGCGCCCCAAGATAATTTTTTTTTAAAGATTTTGTTTATTTATTTGAGAGAGAGCACAAGCAGGGAGGAGGAGCAGAGGGAGAGGGAGAAGCAGGCTCCCCACCGAGCAGGGAGCCTGATGCAGGACTCAATCCCAGGACCCTGGGATCATGACCTGAGCCAAAGGCAGACACTTAACCAACTGAGCCACCCAGGTGCCCCTTTCAAGAAGAAATTTATCTGAGACTCCTTCCTCCCCCAGAGGGCAGAGCTAGTCTATCTTGTGCTCAAAATCCTCTAACCCGTACTGACCCTTTTTGTGGATCTTTTCATGATGATAATATTTACTGAATTTACTGTGTCCTAAGAACTGTACTAAGTGCTGCACTATCTCATAAACACTCATAGAACCCCACAAGGTGGGCGCCTGGGTGGCTCAGTTGGTTAAGCGACTGCCTTCGGCTCAGGTCATGATCCTGGAGTCCCAGGATAGGGTCCCACATTGGGCTCCCTGCTCAGCAGGGAGTCTGCTTCTCCCTCTGACCCTTTTCCCTCTCGTGCTCTCTCTCTCTCATTCTCTCTCTCAAATAAATAAATAAAATCAAATAAAAAAACCTTTATGATGGCTTCTAAAAAGGCAGGGGAGTGGTGTATTAAGTGGTGTATTAAGATGCTACCGCATCAACAAGGGTCCTGGCAAAAGGATGCAAAAATTTATTTCTGTAACACTTAAGGTTTTTATTTTAAAGGCACAATATTCAAATATAACATCTGAAAGAATGTAACATGTAACACAACATTCCATATTTCAAAACCCTTTAAAAAGGCTACTGAAAGGAAATGGTGTATGTAGAATAATGAAGAAAGTGGTTTTTTTTTTTTTTTTACTAATATTGCAAGGAAATGGACATCAGGTTTTAAAAAATTAATTAACACTGATTTTGGCAAGTCATTTAACTGCTACGAGCCTCCATTTCTTTCCCATAGGTAAAATGACATTAGAGGATCCCTCATGGGTACTTCCAGCCCTAAAAGTCTTGATTCTCCTAAGAAAATAGAAGGTAGATGATTCAGAAACTTTACTGCATGAGGAGGGCAGGTGTTATTGTGGGCACTTTTTAAAAACTTGCCCATTTGGGCTTCAGTTTTTATGACAATTTTCTTCCGATGCAATAGGTCAGGAAATGTTGCACAAGTGGAATATTTCCTATATATTAACGGAAAAACTGGGGAAGAAAAACAGTTGTGATGCTCAAAAGGAACGCTACACTGCTAAAAACATTTGATGAGAAAGCGCTGTAATAACAATCACTGGAAAGGAAACCGTCATTTCCACCACTTTTATTCTATTTCCTTTCTTATGCTCTCCTGAAGAGAAAAACCCAGTTTTAATTTTTTCCTAAATCCGGAAGAGGTAGCAAAAGCCACAGAAATCCTTACACGTTTTTTATTAAAGAAATCGCCAAAATATTGAAGAAGCACTATGTGTCTACACCTATCATCAATCTTACTTAGCACCGAGGACACCGTTTCCAAATATTATCACCAACAGCCCTCACTCCGCTGCAGCCGACACTCACCTCCACCCATTTTTAAAAATCCATTTACGCGGAGCCTTTCATCCAAACCCATCAACAACCATTTCCTCCCTGCAACAGTGGTTTCGACAGCCCGAAACGTCCAGCCAAGCCAGGGCTGAGTCCTGCCAACAGGGAGACTGCAGACTGCGGTGCTGGGCAGGGCAGGGCCGCTCCTGCCGCCACACACTAAAGCTTTCCGCCTCCTCCCGAGTGATTTAAGAGGGTTCGGGACCCAGATAAGACCCCGCCCTTGCAGCCACGACCCCGGAACGGGAGGAGGAGAGAGGCGGCCTCAGCTTAGCAGAGCCAAGCCTTTGGAAAAACAGGCTGCTCCTACCCAGCGGCCAGCAGCGGCCGGGGCTGGGTGAGCGGCGCGTCGCGGGCCGTGCGCGCCGAGCGGCTCCCAGGTGGGTCTCCGCAGCCGGGGACCGCGGCTCGGCCTCCCGGAGGGGGTGGGGGTGGCGGCGCGGGCCGCGATCTCGCTCGTCACGATTCACCACCAAGCAGAGTGGGAAAGAGGGAGGGACTGGAGGCAGAAAACGGAACGGAATCAGGGAACTCGGGGAATAAAGAAGGCAAGGAAGGGGAGAGGGGAGGTGGGGGAAAGGTGATAGGAGTGAAGAAGAATGGAGGTGCAGGGGAGGGTGATGGGTGCAGAAGGGGTGGGTGATAGGCTGCAGGGGATAAAGGCGAGGTGAAGGGGAGGGATGGGGTGCTGGGGGTTCGTGAAGGGGGAGGAAGAAGGAATGGCGTGAAGGGGGGATGGGGTGAGGGGGAGAGAAATGGGGGTGAGGAGGGAGCGATGGGGTGGTAAAGAGGGAAGAGCGGGAGGGGGATGCAGGGGAGGGATGGGTGAAGGAGGATGGGGTGAAGAGGGGAGGGGTGGGATGCAGGGGGAGGAATGCGGGAAGGGGAGAGCGGGGGAAGCAGGGAAGCGGGCGCCGGCCGCAGGAGGCCGGGAGGGACTTCCCTGCGAGGAGGGCGGCGCCGGAATAACGGGACCCTCCCAGCCCCGAGCCCCCGCGGCCGGGCGGGCCGAGCAGCCCGCGCGGAGGCCGGGGCGCGGCGGGCAGGTACTGCGCCCCGCTCCTGCCGGGCAGCCGCAGCCCTCGCCCGCGGGAGGACCCCCACTCCACTTACTCTCTCCGACCACGGCTTTGAGGCCAATGGGGGCCATCGTGCTGCGTGAGTCTCCGGGCTCCGAGTCTCCTCAGGCGACGCCCGCGGACACGGCTACCTCCCCGGGTCAGCGCGCTCTGCCGGCCACAGCCCTCCGCTCCGCAGCCGCGCTCGGGCTCGACTGACGCGCGGACTCGTCGCGGAGGCGCGGCGCGAGCCAGAGTGAGGCTGCCGACCTGCCGGCGCGCGCGCGGGCGGGGCTGGCCGGGGGCGGGGCCTTGTGCCAGCCGTCAGCGTCACCCGCGCGCCTCCGCCAATCGCACTGCGGCCCGGGAGCTCGGCCCCGCCCGCCGAGATGCGGCTGAGCGCGAGGCGGTCCCTGGCTGGCGCGAAAGCCGCGCCCTCCCCCTCACCTCACGCGCAGCGCGCACCCTGCTGCCAGTCGCGCGCTCCTGGGGCGCAGGGTCCTAAAGTCCCCTCCGCCGCCTCCGCACCTGGCCACAGGCTGCTGACAAGCTCCCTCTTCCTGAAACCACGTTATGTCCTGTCTTTCCTTTTTCTGGGAACCCTCCATTTTTCGCCTGCCCACATAAGGAACTCAGAGACTCCTAACCACAACATAACTGGAGGTTTATCGACATCATCTCTCTCTCTAGGTGCCTATATCCACATACCCGCCATTCACTGAGCTCTTATGTGTCAGGCTCCACTCTAAGTGCTTTAGTGCATCATCTCATTAAATCCTCACAGTAATTAAGAATTGTTTTTAATCTCCATTTTCCGATTAAAAAAACCCGAGGCTCAGAGAATTGAGCACTAGAGTTGCTCTCAGACTGTGTAACATTCATTAGCAAATATTGAGTGGTCTCCCACTACTCTATGCAAGCTACTATTCTGGGCATTGGAGCTACAGCCATGTACAAGGCAGACTCGGATCCGAGTCTTTGGGCGCTCAAAAGGCTAGAAATTTCGAAGTCCCAAGTCTGATAGGAATATGCTGTAGGACAGCTCAGGTCTCAGCATCTCCTTACAGGAGTCCACATTACCAAAGTGGTCCCAAGTCAGTTTTTGATGGACTTTTTTTTAAAGATTTTATTTATTAGGGCGCCTGGGTGGCTCGGTTTAGCGACTGCCTTGGGCTCGGGTCATGATCCCAGGGTCCTGGGATCGAGCCCAGTATCAGGCTCCCTGCTCAGCCAGGAGCCTTCTTCTCCCTCTCCCTTTGCCTGCCACTCCCTCTGCTTGTGCTCTCTCTCTCCCTCTGTCGAATAAATAACTAAAATCTTTATTATTTATTAGGGAGAGGGAGGCAGGATCCCAGGACCCCGGGATCATGACCTGAACTGAAGACAGATGCTTAGCTGACTGAGCCACCCAGCTGGTGCACCTCTGATGGACTTTATTAATGAGGGATGTTACTTTTTTTTTAAGTCTTAACTATTTCTTTTTTTTTTTTAAGATTTTATTTATTTATTTGACAGAGAGAGACACAGTGAGAGAGGGAACACAAGCAGGGGGAGTGGGAGAGGGAGAAGCAGGCTTCCCGCGGAGCAGGGAGCCCGATGTGGGGCTCGATCCCAGGATCCTGGGACCATGACCTGAGCCGAAGGCGGACTCTTAACGACTGAGCCAGCCAGGCGCCCCGAGGGATGTTACTTTTGAAATACGGCACAGGACTCACCTCTGGCGTCAAAGAAAAGCAAATGAGTTGAGCCAATTAAAAACTAAAAAGGACAGGAGAGCTAGAAGTCATAAAATCACTGAATACTCATTAAAATTTTGGAAGAACTCTGTGAGCTAAGTCCTCTTTTCTTTCTTTCTTTTTTTTATTAAAGATTTTTATTTATTTATTGAGAGAGAGAGAGAGAGAGAGAATGGTAGAGAGCATGAGAGAGAGGAAGGTCAGAGGGAGAAGCAGACTCGATCCTGGGACTCCAGGATCATGACCTGAGCCGAAGGCAGTTGCTTAACCAACTGAGCCACCCAGGCGCCCTCTTTTCTTTCTTTCTTTTTCTTTTTTTTTTTTTTTTTTTAGATTTTATTTATTTGTTAGAGAGAGAGAGAGCACAAGGAAGGGAGAAGCAGGCTTCTTGCCGAGCAAGGAGCCCGATGCGGGACTCGATCCCAGGACCCTGGGATCAGGACCTGAGCTGAAGGCAGATGCTTAACCAACTGAGCCACCCAAGTGTCCCTAAGTCCTCTTTTCTTAATATTATTAAGAAATATAATATTTACAGATGAAAAAACTGAGATTCAGAGAGGATAAGAGCTTTGCTAGTGACAAAGGAAAGATCCAATTCCAGAATCTGAATTCTGAATCATTATATTACACTGAGCAGTTAAAGAAGCTGAGGCCCACAGGAGGACTTTCCAAAGGTCACACACGATGAAGAATGGCAGAGCCAGGACAAGAGGTCACATGTCCTAGTTCAGCTACCAGCCCCAGGGCAGGAAGAGTTGACCATCTTCTTGTCCCCACCCCAATCTACCCCAACAGAACTTTCACATGGCTTCACAGGGAGAGTAAGTGTTTGTCTATCATTTCACGTCTGGGCTCTGCCTTTTACCCAAGGAAGGTATTGATAGTCTCAGGGTGCATTTGGGGAAGGAGGAGATAATTCGTAAATGTGAGGGAACCTAGGATGCACTTGTAATGCTGCATGCTCCCCCCTTAGCCAGCAGAGACTATCCTCAAGGAGCCAGTATTCTAGCTGAGAAGACAGACAGGAATCAAGGAGTCGGTCACAGCGTTGAGTTACTGTCCTAATAAGTGCTAAAGCAGGACAGGGGCTGTGAGAGTGAGTGATGGAGCACTTGACGCAGTGGACCTGGTGAGGTATAGTCAGGGCAGGTAGCAAGAGGGGTCTGGGAGAGTGTCCCAGGCAGATACAGAAAATGAAAGGACCAAGTGCCAGAAAGGAGTTTGGCTTTTCCAGGAACGGAGAGGGGGTCAGTGTGGCCGGAGGAGAGTCTGAGGGGCAGGTAGAGAGGAAAGCGCCCAGAGGTAGGCCTCACTGCAAGGCTCCAGGACATTTTGGTAGCCTGGAATCTGTATGAGGACTTCCTCAAAGGTCACAGGCAAATAAAGTATAGCAGCTTGTTATTTTCTGCAGAGGAAAGGACAAAAAAAGAAATATTTGCCTGTGGATGTGTACCTGAGATGTTCACTAGGGATGGCAAAAATCTGAACGGGTGTTATTCTAAATAGGATGGCTGAAAAAGCAAGTGGGGTGACAGACTGTGAGCTCACTCAGGAACCCCTGACTCTGGAGTGGCGGATTGGAATCTTCCTGCATGGGGAATCCAAGACTGGCTTGAGACCTCCTGACATCTCTGAGCCTTGGTTTCCACATCTGTGAAGCAAGGACAATAGAGGAGACAGTCAGATGACCTACACCTTAAGGTAAAATCCTCCATCAGTCATCATGCCTATTACCCTTTGCTCTGTATTCTTTTTTTTTAAGATTTTATTTATTTATTTGACAGAGAGAGAGATACTGAGAGCAGGAACACAAGCAGGGGGAGTGGGAGAGGGAGAAGCAGGCTTCCCACCAAGCGGGGAGCCGGGTGCGGGGCTCGAACCCATGATCCCTGGGATCATGACCTGAGCCTAAGGCACATGCTTAACGACTGAGCCACCCAGGCGCCCCTGCTCTGTATTCTTTATTTGCATATACGTTTGATACACCCCAGGCACCAAGCAAAGGGCCCTCATGAATTTTCACTGAATTCTCACTACAGCCCCAGGAGGTCAGTGCTATTATTAATTTTCCTGCTGCGCAGGGAGGTCAAGTCACTTGCCCAAGGTCACATGGCTCTAAGCGCAGACCGGGGACTCGCGCTCTGCCTTTCTGATGCCCAGGGGAGAACGTCCAACGCCCAGGCGGAGCCCCAGTGCCCTGACCCTCTCCTTAGAGAGGTCTGGCTGTGTGGACTGCTAGCTGGGGGCATATCAACAACCAGAACCTGGACCTCTTGGGAATTCGTACCTAGGCGAGCCCTCAGCGCGCGGCTGCGGCCGCAGGATGCGCTGGGCTTGTCCGCGGCCGGGCAGGTGCGCTTGCAGCTGCGCATGCGCGGCCTGCAGCCTCTGCAGAGCCCTGGTGCCGAGTAGCCGCTGGGGGTAGGAAGAGGCCTGTGATTTACGCACGGGTCATGTGACGGCGGGGAGCCTGCTTGTGGCTTGGCCGTTGCACTTCCAGGAGACCGGCAGGTGAGAGGGGTGCGGGGGCTGGATGCAGAGCAGAGCAGGGAGAAACTGGAGGTCTGAGCATAAGGGCTGTGAGCAGCGTGAAGGGACCAAGAGAGGGGAGAGAGGGACAGATGAGCCTGAATTGGCAATGGAGCTGACCAAGTTGAGACAGAAGCAACGAGTGTAGTTGTTGCCACCAAACCTACTGATACTGTGGACCCACTGGCTTGGGTCCCCTGCACGCCCAGGGCCTGTTGGAGAGCCCTTCTCCCACAGTCTCGGGCTTGCTCCTACCTCCTCTGCTTTAAAGCCGCATCATCAACTGCATTTTTCCATGTTCACCTCCACCCCTTCCCATGGCCACTGGACATTTAGATTCTGCTACATTCTTTTAGAAGCAGTTTCTAAAGAATTCAATAAGATAATATTTATAAGATTCTTTACCTAGTACTGGGTACCTAGTAAGGACCCAATGAATGTTAGCTATTAATATCATTAAAAATAACAGGAGGCTGTGTCCTGCCTTTATTGATGCTGTAGATTCTTGGCAGAGGATGAAAAAGTAATTGTCTCCATCATAGCCACCCACAGTCCCCAAACCTACAAAGAGCTGCTGGGCCTGGAGTCCTTGAGTTTGGTACATCTTTGCCCCCAAGAGTGAGTTAACAGATTTTTGTATTTGAGGTCAGAATATAATATCAAAAGGGCTTTGTTTGCAAAGTCTAGCCAGGGTCTCAAATTCAAAAGACTGTAGAGGCCATGTGGAGGTAACAACCACAGATGTGGCCAACTGCAGACTACATGCCTTGCCCAGAGGGGCAGTCCTTACTCAGCTCTAATCAATAGTTTCCACGCAGCCGCCAAGGATCTTGATGGTAAGAATTGTGACATCTCCCAATGGTTAAGTATCGCTATGGACTAAAAAAATTTTTTTAGTAACACCACCATTGGCCAAACAAAACACATCTGAGGGCCACATGCAGCCCCCAA